TTTGATGCTTCCTGGGTCATTTAACATTCTGCCCTCACCATTCTTAAGTATTGCAACACAACGTTTGAATTTGTTCTTCAGTTCCTTCATCCTAAGAAATACTGAGTGGGTCATCCCTGTGGACTTTCTGACTCCCGTTCCTTCCACATTTCGTTGTCATGCTTTACTTTGTCTTTCTGAGTTGCCCTTTGAAAGCTTCTGCTCAGCTCCTAAATCTCTTGTTTCTTTCCTTTGGTTTGGCTTCTCAGCACTCTAGACTCTCTTCTGACATCCATCTTATTTTTTTCTTTCTCCTGTCTTTGTAATGACTTTTTGCATTCTTCTATAATGATATTCCTGATATCCTCCCACAGCTTCACTCATTAGTGTTCAAGACCTCAGAACTGTTCTTGAAATGGTCTTTTGATTCTGATGGAATAGACTCAAGGTCAAACTTTGGTTCCTGCAGATTTGATTTTATTTTCTTTAGCTTCAGTTTGAACTTGCATATGAGTAGATTATGGTCTGTTCCACAATCATCACCTTGCCTAGTTTTCACAGCTGATACTGTGCTTCTCCAGAGATTTTTTCCACAGATGTAGTCAAACTGATTCCTGTGTAGACCATCAGGTGAAATCCATGTGTATAGTTATGATTTATGTTTCTTATAAGAGAAATTTGCAATGATAGTCATTGATTGTACACAATTCTATCATTCTATCTCTAGCCTCAATGGAGAAAAGATTGAAAGTGTTAATAACTTCATCTGAGGGGGAATGATGTTTGACGACTAAGATATGTTTGATTAATTAAGACTTTTCAATCACATGCTCTGCTGCTGACAGCTGGAAAAAAAGGATGATATAAGAAAAATAGATACCTTTGTGCTGTGGTGTTGGATAAAAGTACTGAATTCCAATGAGCTACTAAAATAACAAACAGATATGTCTTACAGAAGGTGCAGCCAGAGTGCTTCTTGAAGGTAAGGATGGAGAAACTTCATCTCATGTACTTTGAACACATTGGTAGGAAAGATATTTCTTGGAGAGGGATATTATATTTCCTTCTAGAACACATTTTGAAACTGATACTGCAATGATTTCTAAAACCTGTCACTTAATGCATGCTGAAATAATGTTATGATGTGGGTCTAATACAAAATTAAACTATGGAGAATCACTTATGAAAAAGAATTTAAAATAGACAGAAAAGACAAGTTGGCTGTTCTCTTTTATGGTATTGAAATTGAACATTCATATGAGTTGTACTTGACTCAATGGCATTTAGCAACAATCAAGACAAATTTTTTTAAAGTAGATTTATCCACTTTATGACATTGAACAAAAGATAAAGTATCTATTTACTCTGTAAAAGCCATTATGTAAATTTTTACTTTCTGAGAACATCATAGTGAGATTTAGCATAAAACAGTCTATGTTATATTTTCCATAATTTAAATTTAAATAATGTACATCCAAAGATATGGTATTTTTAATTGCCTCATATACCTCTGAAAGCTTAACAAATTAATATGGATTAATAAACATTTGAATTATAATCTTGGAAAAGAATATAAAGAACAAATATTTTAGAACAGCCATCATAACAAGTTACAGCTCTTATTGAGAAGAATGAGAATCCCATAAGAATTGAAATTATGTTGGCTTGAACTAAGTTACCTCAGTTAAGTACAGTTTGTACAGTTAAATATAAACTATTCCCTAAGCAAAAATTCTTTCTTTTCCCCACTCTTGATCACCACTAACAGGGCTGCTCCATGGAAGCAAGGCTTCTGAAGCTTCATCTGACATATTTTGGGCATATTGCAAGGAGGGAAAAGTTCTTGGAGAGGGAAATCATGTTTGGGAGGGTGGAGGGACAGAGCAAGAAAGGAAAGCCCTCCATGAGAGGGATCGATTCAGTGATTGGGGTAATGGGAGTAGGTGTGTTGGAGACAGGGAGGATGGCACAGGATAAAGCAGGGTTTGAGGCTCTTCTACATAGAGTCTCTATGAGTTGCAAGTGACTTGATGGCACATAACAACAACAAATGAGATGCAGTATTTGTTCTTTGTGACTGATTTATTTCACCCAGCCTAATGATATTTCTTCCCCAAGTAAAATTATTTCTAGGTTCATCATCCATGTGGTGGCATGCATCAGAACACTTTATTTCTCTTTATAACCAAATAATATTCTATTGTAAAAAAAATAAAAGAAGAAAAAGAAGAAGGAAGGAGTAAGAGGAGGAGGAGAACAGAGGAGAACTGTCAGAATTCTTCTAAGAAGTGAAAATAAGGAGACTTCACATACTTTAGACATGTTACCAGGGTTATCAGTACCTGGAGAGGGACATCATGCTTGAAAATGTAGAGTCATCAAAAAGGAGGAAGACCCTCCATGAAATGAATTAACAGAACACTTGTAACTATGTGCTCAACTATAGTAATATTTGTGAGGATGATGCAGAAACCACAGCTATATTTTTTTTTCCTGTGGTATACAGTTGTTATGGGTTGGAACTAGTTCAATAACATTGTTGTTATGTAACATAATATTATATACATATTTTATAAAATTATGTACATGTTTTTCCAGCCCAAATAAAGGAGTTACAATCTATTACTAGAAAATATCCTCTGAAGTAAACCACACTTATTCAAATTAACTACATTTTGAAAGAACAGCAATGATAAATCACATTTTTGCCTATTTAAGTACTATTTTGAGTGCCATCTTCCACTTAATATTAGCAACTACAATTGTTATTGTTGTTATGTGCCATTGAGTTGCTTGTGACTCATAGCGACCCTATATATAATAGCCCTAAACCCGGCTCTGCCCTGTGCTAATCTTACTGTCTCTAACACATCTACTCCCATTAACCCACACACTGAA